AAGCTATTCATTTTCCACCTCCTCGACTTTAAAAAGTTAATTCATATCCTAGAACATTCGGTTATTCCTTCCAGGAAAAATTATTGAATACTTATCAGCACCGGAAGTTGACAAAAATATATTGCGTACATAATTACTTTCCTTATTGATCAGTCCACATTACTAACAAGCAGTCCAGTGGGAGGCTTGCGCGATACGGCATAGACTACGCCTCACTTTTATCCGTATCATCGCTCCGGACTGGAAAAACCATGACCTTTAATCCCAATTTATCATATCTTAACGGAAGAATATCCTGCGGCGTAATGGTTTGCTCGGAAGAGCTCGCGCTAATGATCTTTATGAGCAGTGCAGTCACTGTGAGCGCAAGAAACACCTCTGGGTAAAAACTTTATGTTGATCACCATAGACAAATACCAGAGAGAGAGATAGGTTGGAGTAGCTATATTTAGGCTACCCGCCATCGTCAGCGAGTTGTAGCTATGTTTCACTAGTGGGATTAGCCGTTCCTCAGAGCCGACTAGCTAAATCTTGAGGCAGTCTTACGCCCCGTCTGCCGCCATCGAAAAAACGCAAAATCATGTGTGTTGAGGGCACTTGCCAGTTTAATTCGGCCGGGCGATAACGACGGCGCACTGCTTTGCCTCAAAACTCTGGTTTAATGCCGACGCAAGCAGTCACGCAGTGGCGAGCCTAGCACAATTGATTTAAGAGTAAATGCTCTAGTGATAGACATTTCTTCTCCAGCCCCAGTCAGAGACAGAACTTTTCGTCAGTCGTCAGACATGCCCCAACAACAGGAGAGGGAAGCCTGGGACTTAAACGCTGCCGATATTTTTCAGGTTTACTCTTAACTGGCTTTTTCCGTCCACAGTTCCACTGTGCATATAAAGATCTAACCCTGCTTTTAAACCCCGGTGATTAGCTGATTGATGTTGTCGTACTGGCGCGCATGCAAAGGTATGAGTGGCTTACGACGGTTAATAAATCAGAAATGGCCATTCCAGTCTCCCTTGTCTTTGTCAATAATTCACTTTGACTCGACTGTGAAAAACTCGACGCCTCAGTGGGATTCGAACCCACGACAGCAAGAGGAGGCTTTAGTACAGCCAACGCTCTAGTTACCTGAGTTATGAGGCACGACAGGACGACGCGAGTTTAATCACATTTGGGTTTTGTTTAACTGCTTAACCTACTGCAACGTCTGGATCCACCAAATCTGATACAGTAAACTGACTGCTTAAGCAGGATTTCCTAAGTAATACATCTAGAATCCACCAGCGCCTACCAGGTTCACGTAATTCATAGCTGTTATGGCAGATTTCAAAAAATTCTCTTTGACCTAATCGTTAATTTTTTGAGATCTGCCGTGACACCTATGAATTGCGTGAGCCTGGTAGTCATCTAGTGGATTCTAGGTGGATTACTTAGGAAATCCTGCTTAAGCAGTCAGTTTACTGTATCAGATTTGGTGGATCCAGACGTTGCAGTAGGTTAAGCAGTTAAATAAAACCCAAATGTGATTAAACTCGCGTCGTCCTGTGGTGCCTCATAACTCAGGTAACTAGAGCGTTGGCTGTACTAAAGCCTCCCCTTGCTGTCATGGGTTCGAATCCCACCGAGGCATCGGTTTTTCACAGCCGGGTCAAAGTGAATTATTTGAAGTATGGCATAACACCTGTGAATTTGTCGGCAATTCTGTTCCCCACTTTATGTTTATCTTAATCGTATTTGATGCCCATGGCGTGTTAAGTGTACCCTAGTTCGGGATCTGAGTTTTTGTTTTACAGAGCGTTATGGCGGGACAGTCGATTGGTGCATGAGAAAAGGAATAAAGCGCATGGCCGAGACTGGAATTCATCCCCACCAGCTCATTTCTTACTGTTGTTGATCTAACACGCTTAAAGGTTGACGTGAGAACTCGGTCGCCAGTCGGTGTGTGTATGTGTGTGTGTGTGTGTGTGTGTGTTGCATTTCCCGAGGGTTGGTGTCCCAGTGGCTTCGATTGTAGTTGCAAGGGGACGGTGCGTTCAAGTGGTCGCATGGGCGTCTGTGACTGGGGGACGCAGGCGTGCCCGAGCTGAAGTCGATCGAGCGGCTTCTGGCCAGCGCATCTGCATCGGCTGCCTGCAAGGGGGGGGATGACCTTGAGGCAGCGAGGCCTTGGACAATGACGCCAGACTGGTCATGATGGCTGCCCACAACAGTGGCTTGGAAGGTTTCCAGCTGAGGTCAGAACTCGGTCTTCACTGACAGTCAGGCTGAGCAGTGGGTACCCCCAGTAAAGCGTTTGGGACACCCTCATTGGCGCCAGGTCCAGACGTCCTCACGACATTCTGGAACATGCAGTGGGGATTAGGCCGCGCATGTGGCACGCATAGACGGTCAGTCAATGCGTCCGAGCCCACGCCAGTCATCCTGACTTTGCCGTGCCAGCGGGTGAGGGGGGAGAGGGTGCGGAAGGTGCGACTCAAGGCTGTCTCACTACAAACCAATCTACCAATACTGTGTCCACACCTTGGGGATACGCAGCGAGCGCATGTCGCTTGTGGTGGACGAACAGTGAATGACAAAAAAACTTGCAAATATGACTTATTTCTGGTACTCCTTCTTAATAGATGCCTACCGTTTATTAAAATCGTGGGAAAAAATTACAGTAGACGGGCTAACTCATGAAATGTCAACCGAAATTCCGAAATGCGTTTTCGTTTCGAACGGATTAATTAAGTAGGGTTCCAAAAGTAGTCAGCCTGCAAGATAACTCTATAATATTTCAGTTACCCCAGGATGCCGGCTTTCGAAAGTACTTCCTTCTGGCTGCATGCAAAAACTACACTCTGCACCAAATGACTACTTAAGTGGCATGTACTTTTCTCATTGATTTCCGATGCCCCTAAGAGTCCAATTATATTCCATGGAAAAAATTCTTATAAATATTCATTCTTCTGAGCATTCGGTAGAAAATTACGTCTTCTTCCATTTGTATACCCGAAGGAAGTGTAATATTCAGTTTTCAAAAACTTTTCCAATTCCCGAATAATTTTGAACCCGCTCTGCCGTCACACTCGCATTCAGGGTTTCCTAACTACAAGCCATGTATTATCCGCGTACGGAAAACCACGCATTTCTCTACGGTATTAAGAAGAGACTATATGGGATTCATAAAATTTAGCAGTGGATTTGAGCGATATAGTTAACTTTACAAGCCACTTTGATTAGTGCAGAAACATGAAGTTTTACGAACAGTCACTTCAGGATATTGTAAAATTTCACAATTAGAAACTTTTTGAAAGCCAAGTTATACTTTTCCTTCGAGGATAAAGATGGAAGAAGACGTAAATTTCTACCGAATGATCAAGAGGATGAATATTTTTATGCATGTTTTCTGTGAAATTTAATTGAATTTTCAAAGGCATCGAAACTTAATGAGAAAAAGTCATGCTTCTTATGTGGTTATTTTTTAACAGAGTATAGTTTTTGTATGTCGCCGGCAAGCGAAAGAATGACTACTTTTATGCATGTTTTCCATAAAATATAATTGGACTTTTAGGGATATCGAAAATCAAAGTGAAAAATGCATGGTACTTAACTAGCCATTTTTACAGGGCATAGTTTTTGCATGCAGCCTGAAGGTAGTTCGTCGAAAGTCTGAGGTATGTGACCTATAGAATTATACTGCAGGCTGACTAGTTTTACAACCCTACTTAATTGATCTCTTCGATGGAAAAACGCATTTCGGAATTTTATTTGAGATTTCATGAGTTAGCCCACCTATTGTAGTGCCTTTACGTTGCCTGTTTAAGGAAGCAGTCTATGGAGCCTCACGTTGGAGTCGTGGAAGATGTAATGGATTTCCGTGTCTTGCGTTGTCTTTAGTTTGCTGTGAACACATTTGATTTTCCCTTGGTCTACGATATGCCTATGTGCCAGATAAAACAAGTAATGCTGGCAAAACCAGGAGAGATTAAAGTGATCATTTCTGGCTTTTTAACTTTCGTCAGACAGCCCTACCTACACCTTTATTTGTAAGTTCTCTCTGGCAGTTGTTAGACAACTTCGGTTGAAAGTCTGTATGTTCTGGTCTAACTGCATTCCGGTTCTACGTTTTTCAGTGTCCTAACGCAAATTTGCAAGGCTTTTACGCGTTACTGTGCTCCTCAGAAGCGCACCACCAATCACATTGCTCGGGGTAACACATTGGTTTTGGCCTGAAGCGCGAGGCTCCAGAGATATGATGTCGCGATGGGCACTTTCTGCCCACCTGGGTTTCTAGCTCCAGGGTGCCTGGATTTAGGATTTGGCACGATTGGGCAACGAAGGCCTAGCACACGGATAACAGACATTTCGGCCCGCTTGGAATTTATCGATGCTACCGCTGTAGATATGAGAAGATACAGCGACTCCGCTAATCATGTGCGTGTAGCGCCTCAAACGACATTGAGCCTTCCGCCTCCGGCACCCCCCTCTCCCGCCCTAGGAGTCATGTAATCACGACTCCCGGCGCCGAGGATAGCCAATCGCAGGCGCTCACAAACCCTGCTATCACCCAATCAACTGACTGGGCCGACACTGACTGACGCTCATACACTCGCATTCACGTCACCCTAGCGTGCGTGCGTGCGCGGGCGTACAGCCGTCCCCGGGTTGGGGACGCTGACAGCCAGCAGGCTTCTGTACAGAACTTACTACTCCCACCGGCACCTTTCCCCTTCTCCTCTAAAGCGAGAGACTGGGCCGCGATTATTGTGGCGCACTCAATGTAGTCTGACTGCTTTGACGCCACATGCGTACTGTCTGACGCGTCAAGGTTGGACAGGCTCTCATCGTCGTGAGTTTAGTATGTCACATGGCAGTACTCACCCGGCGACGGAAGGGAAGGGGATGCTATTTTCATGCCGCTATCCTTTCCAACCTTTATCGGTGTGTTCCAATATGGCCGATTTCTGAATTCCAACAGTCATGCATGTCAGTAAGACTACAACTGGAGTAGGGGCAAAATGCTAATCAGAGCTGGTCTCGCTAATGCGAATGTTCATTTTGCTGTACATCGTCAAGAGAGAACGAAGTGGCAGACATATGATGATAAAGAGGAGGAGGGGGTCGATGCTGATGATGGCGATGATGATGATGATGGTGGTGGTGGCGGCGGCGGCGGCGGCGGCGGCGGCGGCGGCGGCGGCGTCGGTGGCCGTCATTGTGATGACGATCACCATTGTTGCCAACATAGCGTTATCGACAAAGACAGGGGAGACTGACATGACTGTTTCTGGCTTGTTAGCCGTCGTCAGTCGATCAGGTGTGCAGCCCCTGGGGCTCGATTCCGCGAGTTGCTGGTTAGAAGTCCAACCTCCCTAACCACTGAGCCACGGGCTCGTTATCCCGTCGGTTGCGATCGGCTGTGTACGGTTGTAAAGGGGCGCTCACCGATCGCGTTGCTGAGCTCGCTCGTCGCGTTATCCCTTAGAGTTCTCTTTTGAGCCCCGCCAACAGCCGCACACAGACGCGTAAGATAGGCGGAATAACATTGCCGACAAAGACAAGGAAGACTGGAATGGACATTTTTGGCTTATTAGACGTCGTCAGCCAGTCATACCCAACCTCGAGGTGTAAAACCACTGGGGCTAGATTCCGCGGCCTGTTATTGTTATTATGAACTGCTCAGTCTTCTAAATTTCCACAACTAATCCTCGGGCAATGCATCAGGGGTCCAATTTCTATTTCAACATCTGACAAACAGATTGTTTAGCCGGGGGCAAACTGGCGGACGTGAACACACGCGCCCAAACCTTCTTTGTGAACACAAATTATGACAGCACCCGCAAGGCAAGAAAACATTTTGAGTGGCGGAATTTTGCATGCCTACTTTTCTTTTATGGGTGCATGAACTGGAAATAAAGAAAATTCGTAAAAATCTAATTAGCCAACTTGAGGCATCTCACTTTTTTTCGACGCAGAACATCAGCTCCACTTCTGATGACTGACCGTGAGTGAGAGATATGTAGTCCATAGCAAATATAAGGAAGCTAGGATATTCCCGAAGCTGCAGATTAGTGAATTAAGTAGCCAAATTATTTAGGTAATCAAAAGCAAAAGGACTAGGCGTTATAGGTGTAAACTACAGAAAATGGAGGGGTCGTCGAGCCCGCAAAGGTTTGCTGTGAATGGAAGTTTAATCGCCGACCGTTCGAATCGGCACTGAGCACTGTATATTTGGAATATTTTAATGACTGTCAGTTGTTTATACTAATCAGTGCTAACTTCTCCTGAGTTCGCAAGGTCACTTTACAGTAGTCCGTCAAATATTTTCATAGTCAGTGTGCACCAGGAAAGAGAACTAATACTAGATTTCTGAAGTGGGTGGCTAGATCATGACACTCCGGTGGCCTAACACTCATCGTTAACTTCGGGGTCTGCTGACTGTAGAACTTTCCTGTTGATTGGTATTCCATGGCTGCCTGGCTTTTCCTAAGAGATGTTGGAAGTGTTAAAATTTTGCGCCGTTAATGGGCTACCGCATCCCCAGCGTTCTGGGTATAAAAGGTTATCTGCTGATCGACCGTTCAATCCAAAATAGGTACTCACTGACAGACGGAGAATCGTAATATCAACTACACGGCATTGAATACTTCATCTTAAGTGTCCTGATCATTGAAATCAAGAACATGATTGCGTCTTCCAACTGTGTATTTCTTGAATGTCTTCTGGTCTAATGTTTTTTTATTCCAAACCCCCACTTAATTGTGTTGCTTTTTAAGACCTAAAAATGGACAAAAGTTTGGCAAAAGAAAAATGTCCGACGACAGGCGACAGAAACAGGCACCTTGCATAGGTATAAAACCTGTAGCCTGAACAGAATGGAACCGTTGCTCTCTAGACTTGTTACAACTGTAGTACCCTGACCTACGGTAAGTGTGCTATCTCATGAAACTAAAATACTGAAACGTGTTTTTTACCTCAGGGTTGCATAAGTATGGTTGTCATATTAATCTCTGGGTAACAAAATACCAAGGTCTATCCTTCATGGCATAATGTCGGCTTTTGAACGAGGCTCTTTCCGGCCGTCAGCAAAAAACTGCCCTCTGTAACAATGACTACTTACGTGGTATGCATTTTCTCGTTGATTCTTGATTACCCTCAAATTCAAGTAAATTAATATAAATCATGCACAAAAACATTTTTCCCTTGCACTAATTTTGTAGCAGCTTACGTCTATTTCGAATCTTGTACTTGAGGAAAAAAGACCCTTGGTTCTCAAGAACTTCAATTCCTGAATAATTCTTAACCCCGCCTGCCTTCAGGGTATCCAAACTACAAATTGTGTATTTCCCTATAAAAAAGCCGAACAATTCTATGCGTTATTAAAAATACGTCATAAAGTGCTCATCAGATTTTTCAACGAGTCGGTCCCACGTTTTATACTTTACAAGCAGTATTTATTAATGCAAAGATACGATGCTACATGAATAAACATTTCGCCGTCTTAGAAAATCATATAATTAGGAACGCTTTTGAAATCAAAAGATGACCTTTTTCCAAGCAGAAAATTCGAGGAGGACTAGATGTGCTACCAAATAAGCACGAGAAGGAACATTCTTATGCATATTTTATACAAAGTATATTTGAATTTGAAAGGCAATTGAAAATCAATGGGGAAAATTCACATTACCTTAGTAGTTATTTTTTTCGGAAACCGGCTGAAATATCTCAACATTATGTCGCACGAAAAGTAATATTACAACGACCATTAAGTAATTTTTTCGAATCGGAACACCCTTCAGAATCTCGCTAACACTTCATCTATTTTCGACGAAACATTTTTCAGGTGTGCAAACAAGCGCTGCTCTCTAGGCATCTAGTTTATTGGCTTGATTCATGAGACCAAGAAAATTTGGGTAAGGATTAAGCATATGCGCGGGGTAAAGCAAAACGACGGTGAACCGCCTACAATACTTTTAAAAGTATAATAGGTGGGTTAACTCATGAAATGTCATTCGAAATTTCGAAATGCGTTCTCGTTTCGAAAAGATTAATTAAGTAGAGTTGTAAAACTAATCATCCAGCAGCATAATTCTATAATAATCCAACGATGCTGACCTTCAAAATTAACCATCTTACTAGGCAGGCCAGCTGGATTGCTAGAGCCACCAAAATGCGGTTTTATGCAACATTTTGGACAGCTCGATACTGAGAGCAGGCTTCCTCAGCCGTCGGAAAACCATACATTTGAGCGAAATGTCCTACATCTCAACCATAAAGACTTCTAATGCGAGTCTGCAAATGGAGACATGCTTTAAAAAACAAATGACTACTCCGTAAACAATCACGACACGACTGTCACACTGCTAATGACCTAAATCCTGTTTCAACCTTAAAGACTCGCAAATTAATGTCATTTCAGTATTCCGGACCGTGTCTCTAAAAGTGTGTTCCAAAAGATTTACTCCGTGTTAGTGCATTAACTTTCTCGGAAATTTAACAAGGCGAGGTGAAACTGGGGTTCATGTACCAGAAAACACACGCGAAAAGCTGGGGAACCTACTGATGAGCCGAACCCCTCGCAGCTGCTTCAGGCAGCAGCACAAGGTCGGCGAAACGCGCTTGTCTGGGCTTTTAGCTAATACCTGTGTTGTCACTACGGCAAATACAGCAGGTGGACCAACTCATGAAATGTCAGCCAAAATTCCGAAACGCGTTTTCGTCTCGAAAAGATTAATTAAGAAGAGTTGGAGAAGTAATCATCAAACAGCATAATTCTATAATAATTCAGTTACCCCAGGACGTCGACTTTCAAATGAACTTCCTTCTGGCTGCATGCAAAAACTACACTCTGCACCAAATGACTACTTAAGTGGCATGTACTTTTCTCATTGATTTCCGATGCCCCTAAGAGTCCAATTATATTCCATGGAAAAAATTCTTATAAATATTTATTCTTCTGAGCATTCGGTAGAAAATTACGTCTTCTTCCAAGTGTATACCCGACGGAAGTGTAATATTCAGTTTTCAACAACCTTTCCAATTCCCGAATAATTTTGAACCCGCTCTGCTGTCACACTTGCATTCAGGGTTTCCAAACTACAAGCAGTATATTTTCTGAATATGGAAAACCATACATTTCTGTACGGTACTAAGAGGTGACTATATGAGGCTCATAAAATTAAGCGGTGGATTTGAGTGATATTGTTGACTTTTCAAGCCACATTAGTAAATACGGAGACATGACGTTTTATGAATGGCCATTTCGCGGTATTAAAAAATCACACAATTATGAGCTTTCTTAAAACCGAAATATCTTCTTCCTGTGAGTAAAAAATTGGAAAAAACCTCATTTTCTACCGAATGAGCATATTTGTATTTATTTTTTCCAAGAAATATAATTGAATTTTTAAGGACATCAGAAATCAATGAGAAAATTGCATGTTCCATAAGTAGTCATTTTTTGCAGAGTATAGTTCTTGCATGACGTCGAAAGGAAGTTCATTCGAAAGGCAGCACCCTGGGGTAACTGGAGTATTATAGAATTATGCTGCTGGATGATTAGTTTTACAACCCTACTTAATTAATCTTTTCTAAACGGAACGCATTTCGAAATTTTGGGTGGCATTTCATGAATTAGCCCACCTACTGTAGGTGTTGTTCGACAGTGTTCGGTCGGGCCTTCGTCGCAGGATGACATTCGCTGACCTGTACCGCCTCGAATAGTCGGTGTTGTGGGAATATCTTGAATGGTTCATTGTTCTGCATCCATCACACGCAATTCTTCTGTCTGAAGAAAGCTCATTTGTTGAAAAAAGCTCGGCACGGAGAGCAGGCCAGAAGTGAAAAATTTTCGAAATATTGTTAGATGGAATGCGTGCGTCCACCAATAGAGCAGGAGTGTTTAAATGCCGGCCAATGTGTTAAACAACAGGAAGCACTTTCCTACTCCGCGCACATACTTACTCCTTGCTTTCAGAGTTTAGATCACTTTTAAATTCGACAATTGGAAAATGAATTACTTGGTTTGCAGTCATACGGGATCTTCTCAGAACTAAAATGCTAGGATCTTTTCTTTTTCCGAAAACCCTTGACGTTCCCGTGTGAGTGACTTCATTTTTTTCTCAGCAATGCACTAAAGCACGACAGTTTCTCATTTCTCCGAAAGTGCATTCCAGACAATCCAGGTATTAATGGTTGTTTTCTTCACATCATGACCTTCTTCGCTGTCTATCTGAGAAATTCGCCTTGAATAAAAAGAAAAATATTTTGCCTAGTGTGC